GAGAAACTATCTTTGTCACTCTTGTGGAATTTAAATCTGGCAAAGGCGATAGACTTTAAACAAAATTAATCACACAAACTACTTTTTAATAATCATTGTAATAAGTGCTACAGGATGCTATGTGAGTATGTGACTAGAATGCTGACCAAGACTAGGGATTTAGGAAACCTCCGGATTGGATGACTGGTTGGGTGTGGAAGGCTGGGAAGAGGGAGGTGGAGTCTGAGATGGGGACCCCAGGGTGGAGTAGGTTTGTTACCATCACTTTATTTTGCAGAGCAGGGGCATTGTATGTTTTATCTGCAATATGTTAAAATTTGAATATCATGCTTGAGTGTATTTTATCATATTTTTAATGTACAGCTAAATGATGTATTAAATCAAGAAATTTGACTCACATATGTGGAACCTCTAATGCACTTCTCTGAGATCCTCCTTCTGACACTTTCCCATCAGAAGTCCTTGGGGACACACCAGGGTTAAGTCCAAATCCACCACTATAGCAGGATGCCAGTAAGTCCTAGCTCATTGAGTGCACCTGTGAAATGAAAGCAATATGGCCTACCTCGTGAAGTATTGAGGACTAAATAAAATGAAATGTGAAAGGCATCTTGCTCAATACTTAATAACTAATAGCCATGTAATATGTTACATATCCATTTCCTTATCTCTTTCTTTTATTACTCTGCAAAACACATTAAGTGCCATTTTCTATGTAAAAATATGTAGAATGTGGTATACTCTCAAAAAGTATTAGGAAGGGGGGAAAAAAGCCTGAGAAATATAATACTTCACACTTACTTGGACTGGACACTTTATTCTTTGCAGTACCTGCTCCCTCTGGAAGCAGAATCTATCACTTGTAGAAGGGCCAATGCACTCCCATTTTGCTACCTAGACACTAGTCCATAGTATGCATTGTTAGACATTTGCTTCATGCAATTGGACAGCAGAAACATGATCTGCCACACATGTGTCCCCCTTGTAGGATATTTGATCCTGTCCAAAATGTCCACCTGGTCCATTACAAAAGGTCCTTGGTATTTAGCACTATCCAAAGCATCCATGGAGACATCTGATCCCTGCCAAAATGTCCTTGATCACGTGCCATTACCAGTAGGCTACCAAGGCAAGCAGAGTTATTATTGGCAATACAGCCACAACGCAATTATTAAACGAATAAAACATGAGAGTAATTTCAATGTATTCGTCCTATAAATCAAAATTATAAATAGTTTTGAACCCTGGGATGCTTTCTAAGCGTGGATGTCTTTGACAGAACCAAATATCAAGGACCATTTGGCGTGGACCACATGTCTCTGTGGACATTTGGACAGGACCAACTGTCTGCTGACCCATCAACCCTACTCTATTAAACTGTACTCTCTCTTTCTTGATTCCATGTTTTTCAGATTTATGGATTCAAAAATTGAGTGATGTACACTGCTTACAAATTACTCCTGGATATTTAATGACATCCCACACATAAAGAACTAGATATTCCGATGCTGCGCAACTTCTGTCTCATTTCCCACCAGAGCTCCACACTTTGGATTTAGACTTTGGATTTTGCTGTTGGGTCCCAAAGTCAGGCTCAGTGGATGAAGGAAAGTGACACCAGGCATTCTTCTATTACAGTCTGGTGTCAGTTCACTATCTTTGCGGCTAACATTTATTTGCTCTTCTACTTGGCCCACTTACCCACACTAATGGAGGGGCAAGAGAACTTGCTATCTTAACCCATGCTTTTATTTTTCTTTTCACTTGACTTTTACTGTATGCTGTGTTTGAAAAGTCTGAACTACAGTAATCTGTTTATTTCTGGAACAAGAACAGAAATAAAATGGCAAAGAGATAGGCATATATTTACATGGGAAGCTAGATAGATGCTAGTCAGGTGATAGCTAGATTAGGTAGGTAGATAGGTAGATAGGTAGATAGGAAAGAGGAATGAAGGGAGGAAAGAGGGAAGGAAAGAAGGTTGTAGACAAAATTCTAAAGATGCCCCACCCCCAAGATTCTTCTACCCTAGTTAGCACTAATTTAGGTGCTGTTTTAAGGGATTTTGCAGATGTAATTAATGTCCCATGTGGGTTTGATCTAATCATGGAAACTCTTTAAAGCAGAGAGCTTTCTTCAGCTGATAGCAGAAAAGTATAAATTTGAAGGTTGACGATTAAGTGGGCCACATGAGCAAAATACAGGTGGCTGCAAGGAACAAATAGCAACCTCTAGCTGACAACCAGCAATGGGGCTTCATTCCTAAAACCACTAGAAAAAGAATTCTGTTGATCTTCTGAGTTACTTTGGAATCAGATTCTTTCTCAGAGCCTCTAGGTAACAACCCAGCCTGGTTCACACCTTTTGGTCTTGTGAGATCCTACATATAGAACCTAAGTCCACCCAGACTTCTGCCTACAGAGCTGTGGGCTAAACTTGTGATAATTTGTAACGCAGTAACATAAAATCGATACACATAGACTGACAGAAAGATATCACTGCAATCATTTTGGATTAAATATTAATTGAAATTACTCAGTGACATGTCAGGAAGACTATTTGGTGGTGAGTCCAGATCAAGTATACTCTCCTGGTTATGGCTAGAGAGAGAAGTTATGTTGCACACTTGGTTGTTATTTCTTTCGAAAAAAATTTCAACCCCAGTTTAATATAATGTCAAAGATTCAAAAAAATCATTTTAATAAGTCATTTCATGATGATGGGTTATGCTTTCAAGTAGTTTCTTTCTCGTAGGCTTTTGACTTCTGGGAGGTAATTTAGTTATCTGTCCAGATTCATTACTACTTTAAAAAAAATCTTTCCTAATCACATCAGCCCCTCAAATGGAATGCTTGAAATTATGGAACATTTGAACAACTCAAGGAAATAATAATGGTGGCTAATTCAAGAAATAAAGGCAATTAAAATTTTCAGGAAAAGCATGAGAAGGAAATGAAACTATGATTCACTGCTTGGATCTATTTTAAATCACATTAAATAATCGCAATAATATAAATACTCTTTATTGATTTTGATCTTTTAGAATTAGCTCAGAGTACAGAAAATTTAATTATGATTATGGAACAGAATGTAGATGTTATTGATCTGAATAATGTAAAAGCACAAAAGAAAACATCTCAGAGGCACAAGGCTGGAGAGTGGGAAGAGGAACCCATCTTAGAAATAAGAGGAGCAAGAAGCTATCTGTACCTGATGGAACAAGAAATTAAGATTTAAGTATAACATGTTTCTTAAAATTTAATGCAAGCCAATAGAGAAATTGAACATCTTGATATAACTATATTTCAAAACTGCGGAGGAAAGGTGGTAAGTGGTATAAGTGAGTACAATCATTAACTTTCATCCTGGGGGATAGATAATGTTTCAATTAGTAGAATTTTTACCTTAACTAGAGACACAGCAGTAACTGCTAGAAGAAATAGCTAAAGGTGGTTAATAATGTTGCCTCTGGGAAGTGATGCAAGGAATGGAAAAGAGTTGGGAAGGAAACTATTCTGTGCTTTTTAAAATTTAAAAATAGAAATATTTCAAGAATTCAAAAATTAGATAATAACATAATAAACATCCAAGTATACCCAGCTTTATCATTATTCCATATTTGCTCTAGATATTTTCTAAATAAAAAAATGTTAACATTAAAAAAATTAAAACAAGTGAAATACAATTGAAGAACCCAGTGTACCTCTCTCATCCACTGTCTATGGTCCATCCACAAATTAAAATAGCTTGAGGTTGGTGTTTCATTCCCTTGAATGTTTTGTTTTTCCTTTCACAGGTATACATCCATAGCATTCATGGTATTATTTAGCATGATTCCAAACTTTAAATGACCAGTTTGCCAATATTCCCTTCAACATTATTTATTTGATATATGTTGCTCGACTCCATTTCAGATGTTTGTTTGTTTTGGTATTTAGTATATTTAGCCAAATGAGATTTGCATTTTATGACTATTCTACAATTTATTTATTAATCCTTCCATTAATGGAGACTTGGCTGTTTCCAAATACTATTATACTAGTAAACAATTATGAATATCCTTATAAATCTACTTGTGTATTAATAACATTGTAAGGGTTGTACTAGGCACATAGAGAGTAGGGAATATACACCTTCAACATTATTACATCTTGCCAACATATTACACCTAAAGCAGTGATGTTAATTAAAATTCCTACCAGCCATATATGAGAGTTGCTGTTGCTTCACAATCTTTTCAACTGTTGGCATTCTTGAACATTAATTTTGCATACTTGATGAGGTAAAATGGCACTGCTTTGCTTCATTCTGCCTAGACCTAGTCATCAGGAAGGGTCAGACATTAGAGTTTCCTTCTTTGTGGTTATTCTACTTGTACCCTTTACTCACTTTTCAATTCTGTTGTTTTTTTCTTGGTTATAGGCAGAAATTATCTATACTCAGGACACTAATCCTTTATTGTAAGATACATTTCCAATATTTTTCTAGATTGTCTTTCTACTTGGTTTGTGATATATTTTTAGATAGATATTATGAATTTTAATTTATCCTGATTTATTTATCTCTGCCTTTAAAGTTGATGAGGTAGCTTAAGAAATCTCTCCCTACCCAGAAGTCATAAAATAGTCTCTGATATTTTCTCTTAAATGTTTTAAGTTTTTCATTTTCACATTTAATTCTTTAATCCACATGGAAACTATTTGGGGCCCAGGGTAAGGGAAGGGTCTAATGATGTCCTTGTGCATAACCAGTTATCCTGGCATCACTTACGGACTAGCTAGCCCATTCTCTCCTTCACTGGCTTATATGCTTCCTCTGTCATCAAGTTTCTATGCATGTGAAGGAGGTCTCTAGGCTATTTGTTCTGTTCCAGTAATCATTAGGTCTTCTGAAATAATGATTTTAACCAATATGTAGGTTAACTTTGAAATAATAAATATTAATAAAAATAGAAAATCTAATCTGTTTTTTACTCTAAAGGTAAAGAATTTTCCCTTTTTGCACTGGCTTTGGCAGCACATATACTAAAATTGGAACATACAGAAAAGATTAGCATGGCCCCTTCATAAGGATGACATGCAAATTTGTGAAGCATTCCATATTTTTTGCAGAAAGAGATTAACCAAAGAACTTATATGCACATATGCATAACCCATGGACACAGATAATAGTGCAATAAAGGCCTTGGGTGAGGAGGGTGGGTAGAGGGGGTCAATGGGGAGAAAAAATGGGATATCTGTAATATTTTCAATAATAAAGATAAATAAATAAAAAGGAATTTTCTTTTTGTTTTAAAAGTGCTTCAGTAAAACCATGATTGGCTACTTCTACAAAAGAACTACCCCAAACAAATTACTTTTACCAAGTCACAAAATTGTTGAATGTGCATGCTTTGAAAAATATATTTTATTTAAAACATTGGGTAAATTACTCAGTAGCATAATCTCATCCCTTGGTATAAAATAAAATTTATATATGGGAGGTGTTCACGATGTATTCTTGGAGAGGAGTTATAAACGAGTTCTAATGCATCTATTGGAGCCATTAAGCCTTGCTGGGTAAATAATGTGTGTTTTAAACATCCTTGAATCTATATTTACAGTCATATGATAAATGGTAATGGCTCCAAAGAGAAATGTTAAGATCTAATGGACATTTAAAACAGCACCTCGATATGTATTTATGCAAGGGATCCAAAGAGACTCAAAAGCAGTTTAGTTCTATTTGATCAATGGCGATCAATGGTTTTGAAAGATGTAGAATATTTAGAGTCTATATTTAAAACTCCTATAATAAGAAGGTCTACAAGCTGATGGTTATAAATGTTTCTTTGTAGCTTGGGACAGATGTGGAATTCTGAAAATATCCCATTAACATCACATCAAAAACAGGCCAAGAAAATTTAGCACAGAAAAAGATGACATTTCACAACAGTAAAGTTGTGGTACCAAACAAGGAAAGCTGGCGCATCTTTTTATATCCTCAAATGGATTTTGAGGAGTCATTTTGAAGACAATTTTCTCTAAAAATAATAATTGAAATTTTACTGTTTTGAAAATTCCAATTTGATCTGCTGAATCCTTTAAATGCACTGGGTGTGTGGGGAGGGAGAGGATGCCATAGACTAGAATTTGCATCAGATTCTTGGAAAGCCTTTATTGGCTAAGAGTGACAGGAAACTGTGGGGGACATTTAGAAACTATCTAACAATTGCCTATCAACAGATGAAATAGTCACCTTGATTGATTTGGATGGTAAGCCAACACTTCTTACTCTGAAAATACGACTATTTGACATTCTCACAGTATTAAGATGCAGTGTTGGTGGCTAGTTCTTTCTCTCACTCTCTGTCCACACAACACCACCCCCTCAATCTTCACTCTGGAACAATAGGCACCGTATGCTCTTGCTGGGGTGAGCCTGATATCTCATTGAGTTCAACATATTGAATTCCAATCCAACGGAGTCTATCACCATGAAACTCAAAATTCCATAACTCCAAATCACCCAGGGCTGCCCAATCCATCTGCTCCCTGCTGTATTGATGTTCCAAGTTTGTTCAAGGCTATCACATCAGGAAATATCTACAGAGATACTGGTGTCAAGAAAGATGAATCTGTATTTCTTAGTGTTCATTAGTGTTCATGCCCTAAAACTGTGTTTAATTCTCTCTACGATTTACTTCATTGAAAATCAGTTCAATTGAACAATTTTTCATGAATCTAGGCAGCCCTTACACAATCTCCAACCTACAGATCTCTGAATGAAGAAAAATCAGGACTGGTTCATTCAATAGATCAGAAATGAAATCAGACCACTTCTGGCTTATGTATCTCTGGACAAATGTGCCATATTAGACTAAAGCCGTGGTTGGCAAACTGCAGCTTGGGAGCCACATGAGGCTCTTTGGCTCCTTGAGTGTGGCTCTTCCACACTCTTCCACAAAATACCACATGCAGGCGCGCACGTACAATGCGATTGAAACTTCGTGGCCCATGCGCAGAAGTCAGTATTTTGTGGAAGAGCCACACTCAAGGGACCAAAGAGCCACATGTGGCTCGCGAGCCGCAGTTTGCCGACCACTGAACTAAAGCATCTGTTATCCCAGAACACTGGATTTGTACACAATCATATATTTTATATTCTACTGGGTCAGAGAATCATAAGAAATCCTAACTTCACACAAAGAAGACTAAGTGATCAACTCAATCTATTGCAATATATTTGAGGTCATTCTTTACATAGAACACACCAGAATTTATAAAACAAATAAGATTGATCACAATCTGGATTATAAAATCATAAGGTAGGGATATAAATAAACATGGAGACATAAACAGTAACCCACAGAGTGTGACACAAAATATATTGGAACAAACAAGAAAAGTCTGGAATGAGACACTTAATGAAACATAAATAGAAAATATGTGGGAAGACAGCCCCTGGAAAAGTCCTATGGATATGCAGGTGCTTAATTAATGATTCAAATGGTGGCTTAATAAGGAGACATGTTTAGAAGTTAGGAGAAAGAAATATATGTATGCACAGTAAAAACCAAGAGGTTCACAGAAGGACATGAACTGACAAAAGCTAGAGAGAATTAAGACAGGCAAAGATGAGGACCATATTGTCATATTTCTTATATTCTTATTTTCATACAGAGACTTAGTAAATGTATATATTTCCCACAAATAAAATGATTTATTTCAATGTTAAAATGTGTCTTTATTATTGTTATTTTATTACCATATATTACTTTATTAATAAGTTATAGATATAGTTAGGAATTTATCATTAAAGTGCTTAGTTACTTTATTTTCACTATACAAATATCTGGTGTTCTGGCTGGCCAGGCTCTGAGAAGTTGGGAGAATGGGTCATTCAGGTCATTAGGAGATAGAAGCTGAAGTGTGGTCAACAGGTCTAGACAGGTCAGGCGGAGGTTACTGGTCAGTGCAGGTAAAGATCTAAGAAAGAAAGTGTGGGACATAGGCTGCTCACCTTCCTTTGGACTGGGCAGGTTACATACCAGGCAGGAGCAGATGTAGGACAGACTTAGATGAACGGAAAATGTTTGTTGGTGAGACCAGCTAAAGACCAGTCAAGGTATGAAAACATTGAGAAGGTGAGAGAAATGTGTTATTCTGATACCAGTGTGGGGTTCATCCCAGGTCCAACTGGTTAAGTTCACTCTTGTTTCACCTTCAAAAACAGGGGCTGTTTATTTTGGGCAGAGGTAGATGTATTTAGATTCCTAATTATAAATTATCCGCAATTCTCCAGGAGGCCCTCACCACCACTAGAAAAACATTTCTCTGTGCCCCATCAGGGGTCTCTCAGCTTGGATTTGTGAAGGGCTGTTGCCTGGGAGGCAGCACCTGCAAGAAGGTGGAGTGTGACCTGGGTCCCACTGCAATGGAGTCAACCTGCTTCTCTTCATGGCAAAAGTGGGCTGAAGGTGGGACTGTGCCTGATGTAAGTATTTAATAAACATTAGTTGAATAGCATATGAAAAAGTAACTATCTGCCTAATCTATGTATTTATTGCAGACTAGAGGCCCGGTACACGGATTCATGCACAGGTGGGGTCCTTCGGCCTGGCCTGCAGGGATTGGGCTGAAACCAGCTCTCCGACATCTCCTGAGGGGTCCCAGGTTGTGAGAGGGCAGTTCTCGGGTGATGCACCCCGGAATCGGGCTCCCTCCTCTCTGGTTCCAGGTGCATCCCCGAGAACCGCAGATGCCAAGTCACCACAGCTTGGCAGCTCCTGTGTTAAGCGTCTTCCCCCTGGTGGTCATTGCGCATCATAGCTACTGGTTGGGCGGTTGGAAGGTTGGACAGTTGCTTAGGCTTTTATATCTACAATAATAAAAGCATAATATGCTAACTAGACCAGACATCCCTCTGGACGTCCTTCCAGATGACCTTCCCGATGACCTTCTGGACAAAGCCCCAGTGGCAGGGGCTGAGGCAGAGGCGGCCACCACTGCAGTGGTGGGAGCTGAGCCACTTGCACGAATTTCGTGCATCGGGCCTCTAGTATATAGATAATATCCCCATTGTTATTTGCATTTACCTGAGAAAGGCCAAGGCCAGATAGAGCCCAATTTTATCACTTTCGTCCCTGGGACCCGAAGCAGCAGCTCTGGGTGGGCTGTGCTCAGGAAGCCTTGCTGCTGAGTGCAGCTTTCAGGGGTGACCCTTCAGGCTGAACTCTGCTGCCTCAGGTCCCCAAATGAGTGAGACCAGTTCAGGCTGGGTCTGCACTATGTGTTTATATCTATATTTATTGTTAGATAACACTGCTTAATACTTTGTCTCCCTTTAGCTGTTCTTTTATCCATTTTCAAAATTTTGAATCATACATTTAGTGGGCTAATTTAATATAGTGATAAAATTAGAATAACAGTCATTACAATAGACATTAATACCACTAAGCGATTATTTACTATGTACACTAGAACTATTTCAGTTATCATACCCACCTTACCTCTCTAAGTGATTGAGAAGCAGCACAGAATTGCAGTTAAGGACAAGGACTGTATACTCAGATACAAATACAGCTTTACCACTTAGAGCCCTTTGAATTATAAATTATTTTCTTACAGCTTCTCCAAGTTACAAAACGGTAATCATAATAAGAAAAATGGAGCTTTCTATTTCAGTTTACCACTTCACATAGATATTAAAATTAAAGAGTATCTTATAATGCTTCACCTTCAGCAATCTATTTGACATTTATTGATTGCTTACTGTCTTAGCTCGGGCTGCTATAACAAAGTACCATAGACTGGGTGGCTTAAACAACAAACATTTATTTCTTACGGTTCTGGAGGCTAGAAGTCTGAGATCAGGGTGCCAGCATGGTCAGGTTCTTAATAAGGACCCTTTTCCTATTACACAGACAGCCACCCACCTGCTTAATCTTACATGAAATCTCTCTCCTACCTCTTCTTATAAGGGCACTAATCCCATTCACGAGGACTCCACCCTCAGGATCTAATTACCTCCTAAACGCCCTATCTCCTAATACCATCAAACTGAAAATTAGGGCTTGGGCATATGGATTTTTGGAAGCATAAACATTTAGTCCATAACACTTATCA